TGTTAGGGCAACACAGGCTGACTAAGTCTGCTCACCTAAGAGTGCCAAGAGTCTAAGCAGGCACAAGGAAGTGGAGTAGACCCTGATGACTAAGACCCTATCTACAGTATAGGTACCTGTGGATGATCCTAAGAGACCAAGTCTGAAGAGACAGTCCCCAGGCAGAGTAGGCCTTATATTTATACCTCTGTGGTGGAACCTGCTAGAACATCTTGCTTACTCAGCCTAGTCAGGTGATCAGGTCATATGACCAAGGATGAGGTCATATGAGGTCATGCACAGCCATGCACAGCAGGTCACCTGACCATCCAATCCTTCCAGCAGGTTCCAGCACATGCCAAGGTATACCAGCTACTTCCATGTCATAAAGGCTTAGTCATGTCTCTTGACCAAGCAATGAGCTGGTGCCCTGACAAGAGCTTACAAAGACCTGGATGGTCACAGATGGCAGCAAGAAGAGCTACTCTCACCCTGCGCCCTACAACAGGCCAACACCAGTGAATGGAGAATGATGTCATGATGTTGGATGAGGATGCATACCTTGTGGATGCTTAGGCATTTTCACTATAACACCTTGTTCCCAGAGATGGAGGAGATTGTCCACACAGGGATGAAGGAAGTGCTGCAGCTCCTCCCAATTTGGTTTGTGGGGCCCAGGGAGAATGCTGACAAGAGACAAGTTGTGGACACGGAACCTTGAATATAATTAGTTGGTGGTGACAAACAAGGCAGATCAAGGAGACCTGAGTTCAGGTGGGAGATTTGCAATACAGATTGAGAGGGGACCAGATGAGTGCAATTCAGCTGTTGTCAACTGGTTTGGATTGAACCAGTTGAGAGACAGTAAAACACCCAGACACAGCTCACACTGCTGCTGCACCTCTGCCCAAGTGCAAGGGAAGAAATGTGAGCCATCTGGGCACTTCATGTTTCTCCAGACAGAGCCTTGTTGGATCTGTGTATAGATGCCATCAACATCACTGTCATCCAGGTAGCCTTCACATGCATCTTCAAAACTGGGTTGTGCCAGGCATTCTGTTAATTGAAGAGAGAAGAGGTCATAAGGAGCCTGTTTACAAGGACAAATATAGCCTGATTTTGCCGCCTCAGCATACAGCAGCTCATGACATCACCTGCAGAATCATTGTCAGTTTTTGGGGCAGACCTGTGTGTCCGCAGGTCCAAAATCATTGAGCAGATTGGCATCAATGGCCTCTTCCTCCAGAGATTTGGGTTCCCAACACACAGGGCAGAGAGTCTTCACCTCAAAGTGGTCCCACATACCCATACACTTATACATTGTCCACAGCATGCAGGGTGGTGCTGCTGCAGCTGTCATTCTCAATGAGGGCAAGAGAACAAAGCACCACTCCAGGAGGGAGTACAACATGGTCACCAAACACAAGGAAGACAAATGAGGTAACTGGTAGCATGCATGCATGTGCATCAGTAGCAGGACAATGCCCCTCACTGCTGCACTAGCATGCACACCAAGATAGGAGATCCAGGGCTCTTGAGATTGCCCATCGAAGTCATATGGAAGTGGTGATGCAGATACTGGGATATTCAATGAATCTACCACCATGCCATCATCCGATTTGTGGTCATCTAAGAATGGTAGAATCTCATCTTCATCCACTTGCATGGGCTCTGGAGAAGGGGGGGCCTTGCTCATGGGAGGACCAAGAATCACAGGTGGAGGAGAAGGAGCTGTGAGCTCTGTGATGGATGAGATTGACCAGAATTGAGATGTGGATGTGTCGGACAATTTGTCCGACTCCTCATCACATCTGAATGCTGTGATGGAGTCAGACAGGGGGGGGGGGCAAGCTCCAGGTCTTGGTTTGGGATTGATAGCAGTACATTGGGTGAAGAGGATCAAGGTCCGGATGGAGGTGACAACAGCAGGGCAGGGTTGGCAGGATGTGCATGGGACCAATCTGGCCCTGGCAATTCCTCACTCATTCCTCTGTCTGAATCTGCAAGCAGCTCCAGAGCTGCCTCCAGTTCCATATGGACTGTGTCAGGCTGCTCAGGCTGCTGCAATGTGGTGGCTTCATTGTGCAGGAATCAAGGTATTGCGCATGCCAACACATATCTGAGATGTGTGCATAACTGTTCCTTTGTGAACACTCTGACGTCAGGTCTGGCAGGAGTCTTGCACTGTCAACAGACACACTGCTGGGTTCCCTTCTGAATGATGAGTTTTTTGGGTCTGTTGGTAGACGTTTGCGCCATGTACTGCTGATCATGAGCCCAAACCCACTCACAAATGTGTTGCATCTACGCACCATGTTCCCACCTCAGATTTGTCCTACATGGCAGATGTGGAGGTTGGATCTTCCCAGATGCCTAGCACTCAGTAGGTCTCTGCAAATGCCACCAGCCAAGTTGAGGAATGGGCAAGTTGATCTTGGGGAAGGAGCTTAAGCTTTGGTGCCACAGCCAGATGCTGTTGGATGCTACAGGGTCACCAAGCCAGGCAACATATCCTAGCCATATCACAGATCATGTTTGCATGGTAAGTCATGCTCCAATTTTATGAAAGAATGTAATTAGACATGACCCTCCAGACCATACTACACTAACTGGAAGAGAGAGAACTCTTATGCCAGCAAGAGATAGAGAGTGGGATGAAGGGACTGGTGGGAATGATGGTGGTGGACAAGACAAAAGGAAGAGCAGTTAACTACTAGTACCACAGGCAGAATTCAAGAACGTGGTATGGAACAAGGCTAGGGGTGCATATCCACAAATCATGTTGACATATGGAAGCCCCTGCACTTGTTTGCACCCAGAAGATTGGCACCATTGGGCAGAGCAAGTGTGGTGGTTGACAGTCATGGAGCCTTCAGGATTGGCAGTCACATGTGCCAATTGTTGGGCATCTTGCAAGGTGAGGCAGGGGGGGTTAGTGGTAGAGAAGGAGTAGCCAAAGGAGAGGATGCAAGCCTAGTCTGGGAAGGGGCCAGGACAGTTGATGTTGTGGGTTGTCCCAGATGGGAGAAGGGGCATGTGGGGTCGACATTGCTGTAGGAAGAGGGGCCTTCATGGTAAGGATATGCCGGCAGCTGCTCTGAGTCAGGCACCACTCCATCTTCTTCCTGTCCATCCTCTACAATGTCCATCCTACTCTCTGACCCTCCAATGTCTCTTCCTCCATCCTCCTCATTTTCATCTTTGTCAGCATTATCACTGACAGAGTCTGAGGTGTGAGTGCTAGCAAGGTTGGTGCAGTAGGAAGGTGCAGGGGATCTTGGGGGTGTGGGGAGATTGTTGGTCACTGGTACAGACTCGAAGTCTGTGCTGTTGTCAGAGTCTGTGGATCTGGCACACTCTGTGGTGGGTGCAATGATGGCACCCAGGATGCTCCGCAGGTGAGCACTTCCACTACCCTGCAGGCAGGCATGTGGCTCTGCAGGTGAGCACATGCAAATGGGATGTGATGGTGTCAGACTCCAGTACTGATGGAAGCGCTGTCAAGGTTGATGGCAGTCTCATCCTCAACATTGGTGCATTCATCCTTCATGATTTCACCCCCAGAGACTGCACTGATCTGTTGCTGAGGGCCTGATTGGTTGCAAGTTGCACACATGGCATCCAGATCTGAAAGGGGTCAGTGACAATGGGCAGCAATACACAAGAAGGATGCGCACCATTCCCTGAACCCATCTGGAGATGACCATGCATTAGGCTCCGGGGGGGGGCCTGGATCGCCCATGAGCCAATCTTCCATTGAATGAATGCTGGTTAAGATCTGCATAGTCTACAATCATCAAATGAACCAAAATTGTAAGAGGCATAGTCACTTACAAAGTGTTTCAATGGGGAAATCTTGTTGAGTGGTAAATGGTTGCTGATAGAAACAGTGAAGATGGTGCAGGGGATGGCAAGCTCAAGACTTAGGGGGATTGAGTGAGAAGGTTTGGACCCGTGGTCAGGACATATACATATATTATATGTCACCAGCCCCCTTGCTCATGTGATTACCAAGTTATTAATTCTGTCTTGCCCTGACAATATTAAGATCATATACTCACCACCTGTTGGTTCTACTGCCTTACTGGACTAGATGGCATTGGCTATACCATACCAAGCCTCAGCCATTGAAATTGCTTTGGAACTGCATGAGCTGCATGAATGTTTCTGCCAAGACTGTCTGACACACATCACAACAATCAAAGTCATGGGTATGCTGTGCTGATGACTTCTTTATTGTTAGTATTTGGCCTCAAGGCAAACATGCAGTGAACATGAGGGCAGGCAATAGGGGAAGAAGGAGTGGTAGTGGGCAGAAGCAGATAAAAAGGACTACATTGTTCTTAATGTGTGCACGGGCACCCCTTTCCCCTTGGAGTTAAACCATCACTTCCTAGCACAAGATGTTGACCCTCAACTGCACCAACAATGATAGTACCATGGACAGTGCCAACCTCTCCCCTGCCAGTGACTGGAGCCCACAATTGACTTCCTGGAGAACACCTGGCAGGCTGCAGAGCCATTCATGCACTTCCTCACTGGCAATGACCAATCCTTGGCACCCAGGGAGCAGAAGGCAAGCAAAAGCTCCAAGCCTGACAAGGTTGATGTGAAGGGGAAGGGGAAGGGATTCTCAGCCTGCATACATGTGGACAGGGGAAAGAAGAAGGCCCAGTCATATCCAAAGGACAAGAAAATTTGCCTCGAGGTTGTTGACAGCAATATTGGCAGTGGGGGTGGGTTGCAGGAAGGGGCTTTGGAGGAGACACTGGGAGAGACTGAGGCAGAGGAGTTTGCTTATGTGCAGATGAACAAAGAGCAGGAGTACATTATCTGACTGCTCCTGAAGATCACCAAGGAGAAGTACCCCAACAGAGCATTGACAATCGAATGCTTGGAGGAGATGATGGGGAGGAAGAAGCCCAAGGTACATGATGTGATGGTGTCAGGCTCATGGTCCAACACCTTATCACATATCTGTGATGTGTGAGTGTCAGACAATGATTGGGTCCTCACCATCTGGTGATAGAGCCTGTTACTGACCTTCATGCCAGACCTCAACCTCCCCCCCTCTATTGGACACCCTTTCCCCCCTGCCCACCACCTGCCCTTGGATGATGAGATCTACAACCATCTTGGCTTGGATCTGGCAACTTTTGACCACTCTGGCAAGCCCAAGGTGGATCTGTGTCAAGCAATGGCAGGTCAGCTCATTGTCAAAGGTGAGCACATGAGACCTATCAGGAAGGTTGAGGGCATGCTTGCTGGTATGAAGGCAATCATGGAGGAGAACCAGAAGATTGACAATGCCTATGTGTCAGGGCACTGTGCTCTTGCCCTCTTCCTAGCACAACAAAATCCTTCTCCTGGCACACAGAATTCTCCACTCAGCACATGGAATTCTTCCACTTAGCACTCAGAATTCTCCACTTAGCACATGGAATTCTCTAACCCTAACCCTACACCTAACACCACATGGGATTGCTCTCAGGGCACTGCTAGTGGCCACCCCTAGCCTCCCATTTGGCCCTAGAAGCAATGCAACAGAGATGTTGGAACCTCCTGTGTTGGGGACTACCATGGGATTGGGGCAATGACCAAACAAGACATCATGAAGAGGACACCACAAGACTGCTGTGTCCAGACACTTTGGAGCGAGACATAGTGATGCTAGGGACCCCCACCAGGACTAGTGAGATGCAAGGTGACACTTGTAAGAGTCTCCATAATTTATTGGAAAGGTTTCAAGGGCCCAGGGGTGTTGCTAAGACATCTATCTGACACTTGTAGGAGCCCCCAGAATTTACCTGGACTCCTGGGCTTCTGGGGAGTAGCTACAAGGTATATAAGCAGTAGCATAGTGATGCTGTATCCCTCAGATCTGATCTCTGAGGAAACTCCTTAGTCTACAAGCAGTTTCCAAGTCATCTCATTGTCTTGGACCCCCTTCTACACACCCCTGAACACCCTACCCTCATAAACTTGCCTTGACTCCACAACTCTTGCTACACTTTTCAGCTACCCATAACCAACTTACAACACCCCCCAGTGACCCCCTTGGACCCCTCAATAATCCAGCTGGCCCTGGTGACTTGGATATTGACTAGTACTGCTGGTTGGAGCTGCTTTCAACCACAGTAGACCCCCCCAGCACTTCATCTATTGTTTGGGATTAGTGTGTGGCAACCTTGCTAGACCTAGTGCCCTCACACTATGCATGAGCCAATGCCCGCTGGTTGGAAGTCAAGCATGGTGATGGGATCAAGGAGGGATGGGATGATGCAATGCTGGGAAGGCAGCAGGAGTGGGAAGCTTTGAATCCAGAGGAGCGCACTGCCAAGGAGACAAAGAGACACACTGCAGCTGCCCAGCTCTGCTTTGAATACTGCCAGCAACTCAAGGCCAATATGAAGAAAGCCTGGGAGAAGATGAAGGCCTTTGGTAAGCACATTTGCAAGTCCCACAGTATTGAAGCCTTGAAGATTGCCTTCATCTATGGTGAGTCAATGCATCTTGTGTCTCCTATCACATACTAATGGTTCCTACAGCTCTTTGGGCAGTGTTGCAGAAGTTTGGAGTCAAGGAGCCAGAGGAGGTAATGCAGGAAGCGCTTGGATTGGGAGATGTGGTGGGGGGAGTATGACTGGGTGCTTGCACAGGCAGCAGCACTGCAGGAGATGACAAGGGAAGTGGTAATAGTACTTCTTGCAGCTGAGCATATGCATGTTGACAAGAGTAAGCGATTCCTGTGAAGTGCTAGTAGAGTCACAGAGGCAATGTTATATTGTTGTGTTGGATGGCAGTCTGACACCATCCATCACAATGGGCAACTGCCCCTCCTAAGGACTCATTAATTGGTTCTAGATTACAATATTAATAAATATATTAATTATTCCGTAGGGTGCCTGACATGGTCTCAGGACAGCCTCCCTGTCCCCCACCTGTCCTGGGTGCTCTGTGATAGGTGGTCTCATATCACCCTATGATAGGCTGGGCCAGTTACCTGGAATAACATAGATTGTGCACATCTAAGCTAGGGACATGACATACTATTCTACTTGGGTTTAGCTAACCTATAACCACCCCAGGACAGAGGACATGTCCTGAGGTTGGTTATCATAACCTGCAGACCACCTGGCAGACCCTGGCTCAGCCCAAGGCATATAGGGCCAACATGCAGTGACTCTTTCGCAGGTTTGGCCATGTGGAAAAATCAATTTCATGCACATTGCCTCTGCTTTGACACAGCCACACATCTCTCCAAAAATAGGGGGCATGCCTAAACCAAAAACCCCTAACCTGACCTTAACCCCAAAATGATATAACCCTACATGAAATAAAACCTTAGCTCTGCAAAAACTTATAAGACTAATAGTAAAATTAATAGCAATGAGAGCAGTTTTAGTGAGAGTTATTATTAATTGTGATGCTGTTATTACCTTTATGAGAAGTATTAATAACACTAATATTGCTACAAGACTGGAGTAGTGTGGAGTTTCTTGGAAGTTTAGCCAGTTTTGTTCCAATAACTGATGCTATTACTATGATATAAACCCCTATATGACCCATAGCAGAATCTCATCCTAACCACACAGTGCAAGGGCACACCACAATAACAAGGCTACTGCAGGGGCTAGAAGCAACAGATGGGGGGCAAGGAGGGTGTTGTAGGGAGGGAGTAGAGTCAATATAGAGTGTATTGATTGAGTGCCTAAAGGATTACAGTGGTGGAGAATCCTCAGAGACCAGATCTGAGGAGAAAGAGGCCCTAAAGGCTCCATATAAATACTCCTGTGGCATAAGGCTGATGAGTCTTAGTAGGAACAGCTGCCTAGGAGTAAGCATGGGTACAGGCATCATGGAACACCATGGAACAGAGGTAGGAAAAGCCAGAGGTGGTAGGAACCACCATGGAACCCATGCAGGGCCACAAAGCTGTGTGCAGTGGAAATCCACACAGCACCCATGCCACAACCCATGATGCAACCCTGAACAGGCCTCATGGATCACTTTGAGAAGGCCTGGAAGTGAGGAGAAGCAGGGATAGAACATGTGATAAGGGATACAAGTCCCCAAAACAATGTGTTCCCTGACACACAGCTGGCCTCATATTATCTCATTGGCTATGTCTAGTACAAGAGACATGCTTATGTGTCATGTCTTGCTAGCACAAATCTGCTTAAAAATAATATATGTGCTGCTCAGCTAACATGAATAAGTGGTTGATTTTTGGGGCATGGGCAAATCTGTCCATGATATTTATGACCTGGCATAACTGTGTTTGGCAGCACTGTTATGCTTCCTTGATCTGCAGAGACCCTTGTGTGATAACACCCACCCTCTTTCATCTCCGATTATGGATCCCAATCAATGTATGACAGTGATATTCAAAGGATTTTCTTTCTCAATTTGAACGTGGATGTTAATTTCAAGGGTTCTTATGCCGAAGTTGACGTCAGTCGTGTGCCGCCAACTTTTTGGCGCCGAAAACTGCTCGTATCCCTGCACATCCGTCCTACGATTAGATCATTCCCTCATAACTATCAGAGGTAAACAATGCCGTGGCACCTCAGCTTATCATCTCCATCTTTACCCTCACCATCTGCACATCCACGTGTTACACTCCTCATCACCGCAATCGCCTCCTCTGCCCTCACATTCGGTGCTTTCCAGAGCTACACCCTCCTTTCTCGGGCTCGACGGGCAGCGCAACTCAAGCAATCTGTACAGGAAGCACTGCAGGATGAACCCCTCACTCTGGCAGACGAGAGGCGTCGGAGGCGATTACAAGAAGATACGAACGTGTCTTACGACGAGGAGCTTATCAGGGAGCAGTTAGCGAGGAATTATGCTTTCTTGGGTGAGGAGGGCATGGAGAAGGTCAGGAAAGCTAGAGTCGTGGTCGTAGGTTGTGGAGGTGTGGGAAGCTGGGCTGCGGTGATGCTGGTGCGATCGTGAGTTTTCTCCTTATTGGTTACGTATATGCTTATGGTACCACAGAGGTGTCGGACATATTCGTCTAATAGGTATGTCTTTCCCATATGCACCTAGCACAGTATTTCTGACGCATACATCCAGATTTTGATCAAATAACCCTCTCTTCCCTCAACCGGCATGCGACAGCCACGCTCGCCGACGTCGGGACGCCCAAAGCAGCGTCCATGACAAAATTCCTCAAGTCTGTCGCCCCATGGTGCGAGGTCGATGCGCGTATCTCCCTCTGGCGCGATACGGAGGAGGGTGCGAGGCTATTAGAAGGCGCGGATTGGGTCGTCGACGCGATTGATAACATCTCTACCAAGGTGGGCTTCTACTCCTCCCACCTCCTTCCCGTTTTGGACTAACACGCCTTTGGTGCTAGGTGGACCTTCTTGCATACTGCAGCAAGCACAATATCCGTGTGTTCTCCTCCATGGGCGCAGGGCTAAAACGCGACCCCACACGTATGCACATCACCGACATCTCTCTAACGCAGGAAGACCCCCTCGCACGTTCCGTCCGCAGGCGACTAAAGGCCAAAGGCGTGCTTTCCGGCATCCCGGTCGTGTATAGCACCGAGGTGGAAAGTGATGTCAAGCTCCTCCCGCTCCCGGAGGAGGAGTTTGAGAAAGGCAAGGTGGCCGAGTTGGGACCGTTTGACGACTTCCGGGTACGGATCTTGCCTGTGTTGGGTACGCCCTCCCTCTTTTTTCTGTTATATCTTGGTGTAGACTGACCGCCATCTCAGGTCCACTGCCGAGCATATTCGGGTTAAACGCAGCAACATACATCGTACTAGATCTAGCTGGCAAGCCGCTCACCAACCCACTAGCGGCGAAGGGTCGGCGAAAGCTGTACGATAAGATGGCGCGAGACCTGCGTGCCCGAGAAGCGCGGTTATACACTAACGGAATGGAGAGGTACGCCCTTCTGCTCTTATCTCTTTGTGGTAGGTAGCTTATCATAGGTGCTTGAGTAGTAAGCTTCCCATATCGGAACACGAGATCGAATACCTCCTAGAAGACCTCTCCCGCTCGCGCTCCTCCCTACCTCCTCACCCCCTGCTCGCGCGCCCAACGTTGGTAAGGTGGGACCCTTCCCTCCCACTCACCGTGGACAACGTCGCTGTTTTCTCATCGGAGGAAGCGAATAGGCATGAGCGGGAGGTGCTGAAGGGTGGCAAGAGTGGAGAGGAGGTGTGGGGCAAAGAGATGGAGGAGATTATGAGTAGGCGAGGGGAGGAGGCTAGGGAGTGGAGGAGGGGTTGGATGGATAGTTGAGCGTGAACTGTGGAATGTACAAGGAGGTTTTGTTGCCAGAGTTGGAAGAATTGATGCCTTCTTCCTCTGTTACCTCCGTCCGGAAAGGCAATTACGGACAGAATCCTACTTGCCATAGCTCGCAGCTGTGACTGAACAATCGTACGGGGAGGCCATCATTGTACATTGAATTCTAATGTACGTTACAACAACATTGAGACAGCCTACACCGACCCTGGTTGAAATTTCGGAAAGGAGACGCAGCAAAATGCCCAAAACAACGCACGGCACCACTGAACCAGGGAGAGCCAGTACTAGTACATAATTGGCCTCTTGCAGGCTCCTTTCTTCTTATGCATACGCCTGCCTGGGATCACGCTTGATCCAAAATCATCCCCTGGCCTTCATGGTCGTCCTGAACCTGCCCAGCAGGTCGCTCGACGTTTTCTGCAGCCGCAGTACCAGACTGTACCTCCGGGTCGAGCCTTGTCAACAACCCCACACAAGCCCGACTGACCTCCAGCACTCCCCTAACCTTTGCCAACATCTCCTCCCACTTCCTTCCGGCCTCTTCCCGCATCCCTCCCATCTCTTCACCCATGGCACGCAGATGTTTGCCGAGCGACTGCAGCTCCTCGTCCACTTTGTTGAAATGGGTAAAGTGTGTGCTTAGGGAGGCGTCCATCTCCTCTGAGAGGTCGATTCGTGCAGAGTCAGTGTAGAACTTGGCTTCGGGCAGAGCGGAGGTGATTTGAGAGCTGATATCTTCTCTTTCATCTGCAAGGGAGGGCAAGGAAGAGAGCGGTGGTGGTCGGGGTGGAGAAGGTTCGAGTGCCGGTGCGGAGTGGGGCAAGGGCAGAGACTGTTCTTGAGACCGAGCATCGATCCTTGCCACTTCTGCGCACATTCGCTCCATCTCTTTCCGCATCTCAGCCATCGTTTGCTCTATCTCAGCCCTCCGCTGTTCCAGGGTGTTATGCAGCTTGTCCACCCGTGCTGACTCTTCGATTTGGAACGACGTGAGGTCTGTGTCAACTTTGTGGATCGCGAGGTTGAGTTCGGTAGAGAGAGCACGGCCGAAAGCTAGGATGGAGCGGTCTGTGTAGGCACGAGAGTTTTCGAGTGCGGAGGCGGCTGTCAGGAGGGAGGACGACGAGGGAGAAAATGAAGGGCCGAAGGCACTGTCTTGTGTCTTGAGGACATGGTCTGGCGAACGGCTGTGATGGGATCCGAGCGGTGAGGTGGGGAGGATGGGAGAAGCGAGGGTTGTATCACGAGAAAAGCTATTAGAGTCTTCACTGCGTTCTAGCTGGAGATGATAGCGGGTTCATATATATCCTTTCTGTTGATTGTATCAAGAACTCACCAACTCCATCCTTGAGCTTAGCGTCTGCAACATCCCCCTTAGCCGTTCGTTCTCCTCCTTCACTGCAGCAAACTCTTCCCTACTCACACATCCCATAATATGATGCGAGTGATTCGCAATGACGACCTGATGGGCGACGGGCCAGATGACGATTGAGTCAAGCCAGAGGTCTGAGAAGAAGCATCCATCTGTGGGTTGACATAGTAGAATGGTATTTAGGTAGGAATACTTACCCATCGTCGCTTGCTTGGGGCAGTCGTCTTGAAAGTCGTTGTGAACAAAGGGAGATCGCTTCCTGCCGGAGAAACTCTAGTAACTCCGAGTGACACGTCCCTTGCTGCGCGTGGGCGCATACATTCAAGTTGAGCGGTTCGACCGGTAACTACGACCTGAATGTCCTTGCTTTCCTAGGCGTCTTCAACGTCTAGACCACCACTGTCGATGTCGGCAGCAACCTCGACGACGGCGCCTACGAGGGTGAAGGTGAAGGGCGCGAGCACGACATCACCGGTGCCGTTGCTCCTGCTTGGGTTGCTTTTTCACCTTGCGTACATCCCCAGCGTATTGGACTGTTACTTCACTTCGTACGCCATCATTCTCTTCATTTCGCAAGATGACTCAAATAATACAACAGTCCAGTCGTCCATGGCATGTCACATCACTCCCTTCCGCCGTCTATCCCCGTCCCCGCCTCCAGACTTGTGCTTATCGTCGCCGACGGCCTTCGAGCCGACTCCTTATTCAAGTTCCATGCGTTCCCAAATGTCCCAGACAGCCCGGATGTGGTTGCGCCGTATCTCAGGCGAGTGGCAGCAGAGAGGGGTGCGTTTGGAGTGAGCCATACACGCGTGCCGACGGAGAGTCGGCCTGGACGTGAGCCTTCTTGCTTTCTTGGAAGATGGAGATATTGACGTGTATGCGTGTGATAGATGTGGCCATGATTGCAGGGATGTACGAAGACGTCTCCGCTGTGACAACTGGCTGGACTACCAACCCCGTTACATTCGACAGCGTGCTCAACCAATCCAGCACAACATTCTCCTTCGGTTCACCTGATATCCTTCCCATGTTCGCACATGGTGCCGTCCCCGGTCGCGTACGCACGTGGATGTACCGCGAAGACGAGGAAGACTTCACGAAGGATGCAAAGGCGCTGGATGTGTGGGTACTGGACAGGTTTCGCGAGCTGTTGGCGAACGCAACGAGGGATGCAAAGCTAGATGAGGAAATGAGAGCCGAGAGGACGGTGTTCTTCCTGCATCTATTGGGATTGGATACCACGGGGCATTCGTACCGCCCGCATTCAAAGGTGTGCTTCGGCTGACTGGTGTCGGACATAAGTGCTAACCTGTGACCAGGAATACATGCAGAACATCCAGTTGGTTGACAATATCGTCGAGCAAGTCGAGTCCCTGATCTCTTCATTCTACAAAGACGACCGCACAGCGTATGTCTTCAACGCTGATCACGGGATGTCCAACATCGGGAACCATGGCGATGGGCACCCGGACAATACGCGCACTCCCCTGATCGCATGGGGCTCGGGGATCCGTGGACCTCTGCTGGACGAGGAGAAAGCGACACACGATGCCTTTTCCCTTCACTGGGGCGCGCCGCTCACTGAGCTGGTGAGGCATGATGTCGAGCAAGCAGATATTGCAAGCCTGATGGCTGTCCTTATCGGTGCAGAGTGGCCAGTCAACGGGGTGGGCGTATTGCCGGAGTGTAAGGAGTGGACTCGCAGAGGATGGTTGGACTTTGGACCCGGAGAGCAGGGAGAGAAGGGGATGGCTGCGGCATGCATCACGAATGCGAGGGTGGTGTTAGAGCAATATCGCGTTAAGCATGGTGTGTCCAATTTTGTGTACATTACCATATCGGTTGCTGACTGATAGTAACGCAGACCTCAAGCGTTCCCGTACCGCTCTCTATTCTCCCTTCTCTCAGCTGCAAGAGTCCAACAATACAATTCCTCCCGGAACCTCCCAACTCGCTGCCCTCTCTGCCCTCTATGATTCCGGCAACTATCACGCAGCTCGCCACCGCTCGGCAGAGTTGATCTCCCTCTCCTTGCAAGGTCTGCGCTACCTCCAAACATATGATTGGCTGTTCCTCCGTGTTGTCGTCACTTTTGGCTACCTTGGATGGTCAGCGATGTCTGCTCTTCAAGTCCTCCGCATGTCGGTTTTCCCGGATGCGCCAACCCTCAGTGACACGATAACTGACTTGTGTACCGAGATGGCCGCGGTCCTGCTCGCTGGCTTGCTGGTGATCCAGCAGAGCAGGTGGACGTATTGGATATACGTTGCCTTCCCAATATACTTCTGGAAGAACGTTCTGTTTGATCTTCCAGTCGCTGGGGCGGCATGGCGCCGCCTCTCTTCCGGGCAGGGGTCGGGCATGGCTGTGGTTGGAATCATCCTGCGATCCCTCATGGTGCTGGTAGCTATTGGGTGTATGGTGGTGCGTCCCCTCCTATGTCATTTATCGACATGCCACTCATCCATTACAGGCAGGATACACCAACCGCCACGTCTGGTCACTCGGCTTTGGAGTGCTAGGCTGTCTTTGGCCGCTCTCGGCGCTTTCTAGTAAATGGTTGACCAACCAGCGAACGAAGCTGCTCGTTGCTGCTTGGGTGGGGATATGCGGCATTGACGCGGCCTTTGGTATGCTCCCTGTAGAGAAGCACGAGGACCTCACTGTCCTGTACGTCTCTTTTCGTCGTTCTTCCTCGGTTTTGCAAGGGAAGCTGATCTTAAAACAAGGATGATAACAGGCGCAGCTTACCTCGCTATCGGACTCGCAGCAATCGCTTACCTCTGGAGGGACCCTCGAGCATGGGTGTTCGACATGTCTGACACCTATCCACTCGTCGTCATTGTTGCTCTTCAGACCTCTTTTATCGCCGTAGCGACGTATGCCACCTACGGTGCGGTAGTGAGCTTGCAGGCGAGAGAAGGGCTTCCGGTGCATTTCCAGATGCTTGGTTGGACCGCACTTTGTCAGTCATCTCTAATTCATCGGGTAGCAGTCTAGCTGAACCTGCGTCTATAGTGCTTTCCTCTGCATCACCATTCGTGCTCCCCATGTCGGACCACCGTTCCTCCTCTCGCCTCCTCACGTATTTCCTCGCATTCTGCCCGGCATTCCTCATCCTTTCCATATCATGGGAAGGACTGTTCTATCTTGCATTCTGTGCGACCCTCTTTCTCTGGATCGAGCTGGAGTCTTGTCTCGCACCGCCTCTTGAGGAGAATATGAAGGCTAGCAATGGCCTGATGCGAGTGCTAAGGGTAGACGATATCAGAATCGCGCTCTTTTTCTTCTTCTTCATTAATATCGCTTTCTTTGGCACCGGAAAGTACATGAGAGGCCATGCTTCACATTCGGGGACCCGCTGACTGTGAACCAGTGTCGCATCTCTATCGAATTTTTACCTTGAGCCAGTGTACCGATTGATACCAGTGTTCAAACCGTTCTTGATGGCTGTGCTCCTGGCAAGTACTTTCGTCCTGGGAGTATGAAGCAATAGCTGACATGTTCACAGTTGTACAAAGTCTTCCTGCCGTACACGATCTTTGCTGCGTGCTTGGCAATGCTGAACAAACGACTGCACCTGCCTCCATTCTCCATCTATCTCGTTGCTTTGCCACTCACAGATGGTTCGTATTTTGTGTCTTGTGTTGCTTACTTGATCTGATCGTACACAGGAATGACACTAGCGATGTTTTACAATGTTCGCGATGAGGGTTCATGGCTGGAGATTGGGCAGACCCTCTCGCACTTCATTATCACTTCACTGTTGCTTGTATGGAATGCGGGTATATGTGTGGTCGGGGAGTGGCTAATGTCAGGAACGGCGGATGGGTTAATGGAGCGAAAGCGCACCCCCAGCCCTGCCATTGGAAAGGAGGTAAAACTAGACTAATGTATAATAGAATAATATTGACCTAGATAACAATGCCCCCCGAGGGAAGATGGTTTCGCTTCATGGATCCGGAGAACAACAAAACGTCGCTCCTCAGAGAATAGACATTGTCAACAGACAGGTACGAGTCATGATTGTTTTTTGTGTTTTCCACGTTGTACGGGCCTTACTTTGGAATGGGTACAAACGCGTTCTACAAGCTCAGACATAGACGGAAATTCATCCCCAAAAGGATGAGTGCATGTGAGCATCCGAGAAGTTCGTCGGCGCCATTGGCTTTGATGATTGACAATTGAATGGGCATTTTATGTTCTATTGTTTCAGACTCGTTCTATGTGGGGATATGAGAGGCCAGGGCTGTTTGGGTCTTTACCAAAGAGCCGAACTCGCTCTTTCAGATTTGGGGACTTGTGCGTCATCAAATGAGTGTCTAGAAAGAGAAACCCAGGGTCTCAATGTAGGGACGGGTCTGCTCCGGGAGTAATTCACATGACATTTATTTTTCTTCATACTTTCACTCAGGCAATGAGGTTTTCCCATGGAGTCATTAGGGAAGGGAAAGAAATAACACACGCAAGAATTCATGCAAGTACTGCTGGTAGGAATGTGGA